GAGGAACCCCCAGCCATACTCTGTTCTGGCTGTTGCTGCCTACCTTTTCTCTCCTCCTCCAAACTAATTTTTTTCTACAACTTCTTGCTCAGATAATTTACTATGGTAGAAAAAGTAGCTTGAAAGGAGCTGCTACTGAATTATTTCTTGTTTCAAGACAAGACAGAAGCAGGAATTTATTTTGAAACTGTATCTTGCCTTAAAATTAAAAAATCTATTGTGAAAGAAAGACTGGACTTCTGTCACTGCCTGTGTTTTAATTGCTAAAATCTACTTAACCACAAAACATGATCGGGCCCATTTTATTTTACATGAATTGTTACTTCTTTTGTTAGCTAGAAAGTGTCTGGCACAGCAAGATAGCCAAGAACACTCAGCCCTTCTCTTGCTGGGCCTCACCCAGACTCTTCATTATAAAGCCAAGCTTCTCCAAGGTGTGGATTTCTCCTAGAAGACGCACACCCAGTACTGCCATGTTTCCACTATGCACAGGACTAATTCTGAGCTGTACTTAAATACTTCCAAGATGTTTATTAAGAAATGAATCCAGAAACCACAAAATCCTACTGGAAAACGAAGCTGGTTGTTTTCCCCAGTGATGTGACTGCAGACTCATTACTGCACCAGGAAGATCTGTTTGCAGGGCAGAGTTCATTGACTTGACAAAAATTAAGCAACAGTAACATCTTCACTGAATTATCACTGAATCACAAGTCCACAGAAACTGTGTCTGCATGAATTATTTGGCAAATTCAACATTAAAGTATTTCTGTTCACAACAGAATTAAAACCCTGACACTGCACAGTCTTTGTAGTGCTCTCATAATAACCCAAATACCAGACCCACAGTACGCAAGCTCACATTAAGGACGTCTTCTGTTCCCCCTTTCCCAGCATTTAGGTTCCCAAGGTATAAAGAGGAGCTATAATTTAGCAGAACTGCACCAGACAATCCCCAATCCCCGCCTGCAAGGGGACTCCTGCAGAGAAGTCCTCCCCGGGCTAAGTTCTGCTCTAACACCCGCTATGAAGGGCACGTACCTGGACAGTAGGGCTGAGCACTATCGAAATATTCTGGATGTTCATTTTTGTTTCCAGCTCCTTTGCAATGACGTGGTCCATGTGCACAATCAGCCAGGAGATCAGGAGATGGTTGCACTCCGGCAGCTCTTTCAGCAGCCTCTGGCACTCCTGAACTTTCTCAGCCTCTGTGCTCTTCCCACAAGCATCTTCAAAGCGGGGCATCAGCTCTTTGGTAAGCAAGTTTTCAGGCAGTTCTCGTAGGTACTGCTTCAGCAAGCTGGCTACTGTGTTGGGCTCATATTCTTCCAGGTTGGGAGATTCTTCTCGATCATAGGCTGCTTTTAGCTCATCAACTTTTGATTTTATTCCTTAAAGTATTTAGATCAAGAATTAGGAGAAATCAACTATAAATGTATAATATTTATATTTAGTAAACTTTTTTATCGAGATGCATTTATTTCACCTCTTCCTCCAATTTAAGCTAACTGAGGAATACCCTTTAAAAGTTATCCAAATACGACAAAGTTAAAATCATGACTCAAAATTAGGTGACCACTGATCACTGCTTCTAAAAGCACTGACGACTGCTATGAAGCATTAACATGGCGCTGCTGGAGCTCTGAAACACAACTGGTGCCAGCGTCCCCTTGCATCAGAAAACATAAAACGGGGGGGGAAGTGCAGGGGAACGTAAGATCAGTTGTGTATTTGCATCCAGCATCTTTCTGGCTGTTCAGTTATACAGCCTCAAGCAGCAAATATGTTATCAACTGAAATATTGTACAAGTTCTACCTAGAACAGCTTTTCTCTGTCAAAACAAACCCCACACTGTTCAGTCTCCACATTTCCAGCTGGCCCTCCCTCAGGGGAGGAATCTCACACAGGAATCTTGATTTGAGGCACTGCACGAATAAAAGCGTGTGCACATAATTATTCAACCCAGTCAAGATTGTCTGTCAGGTGTTTTTAGCACTTGGTGACATTCCAGTCCTCCCAGACTTGGGAAAATGTCATTCTCAAAGCTCAAACACCCACAGGAGTTACCTCCACTCAATGCACTGCTATGGCACGGCTCAGACAGAAGCAGCCAAACTGGGTGCCCTCGGCCCCTGGTAAATGCCAGGTAAAATGGGCTCAGTTTCATGCTCAAGTGAGCCAGCCCAAGGGCTGCAGGCTGTTAAGACTGCAATTGGTCTGTCTGAGCTCTCAATTTTCAAATCTTACACACACAAGAGGGTGCTATTGCACAGGAGAACACCTAGAAAGTACACACATCAAAAACGCTTTACTGAAAACACACCTTCTGCTGCGAAAATTCCCAACACATCGTGCCTTGAAAAAACACATGCAACCAGAATGTTCCAACCGGCAAGAGGAAGAAACTGCTCAGCTGCTGCGGCGTTTACGCATGCCTACAATTACCACGCAGACCGACAGCATGGAGGCAGCTTAATGAAGCCTTTAAAATCGTTTTGATTACTGTTTCGCAGTGCTAGGCAACTTGGTTCAAATACTTTTCCTCACATTTTGTTTCTCACTTGTTCTTGCTCCCTTAAATATAACCCACAGAAGTACTAACACGAGTTAAATTGCAGGTGCAGTTCACAGATAAAGGGACTGTTTTGTTTTGCGCGACTAAAGCCGACATTTCATTTATGTAAGCTGGTGTTGCGCAACTGCCGCGGTTAATTGGCCTGCTGGTGCTGAGCTTAAACAGTGAAACCTGCATTTTCTGCTTATTAGTGTGTTTGCTCAAAGAAAACACATTTTTAAGGAAAAAAGAAAAAAATCATACAGTGGAAGTAACTGGGAAAAGCAACTTAGTGGAACGCTTAAGTAATAAAATAGTTGTACCTCGTCTTTGCTTTTGCAATCAGCTAACATTGTGTTTCTAATGCAGAGGTAAATACAAGCTGGCCATACTAGCACATTTTATTCATCATTACCATCCTATCACAGAAGGCCAAAACAAATGTATTTTTACTGCCATTAAGCAGTACCACCGTATTAGCAACTCTTCTGGTGTTTCAGACCTACAGGTTTGTTTAACTTCAGCTACCTGCTTATCTTTTGGATAATTCAAATTAATGCAGCTATAAAGAGAACCTCTAGGTGTCGAAAATGGTAAAATAATACAAAAATTGCAAGTAAAGAAATGAGGAAGCTGCACGTCAGTGTGCCCAGAGTACCTGAAACTCTGTAGATGCCTTCACATTTCATGCCGTACTTCTCCACGTAATCTATACATTCACGGAAAACCGCCGGCAGGCGGATGCCATCGTACATCATGGTCCTGTCCACCGCATCAGCCAAAGGAATGCCAAACACGGGCCTGTGGCTCGGGACATCCACTTGAGGTATCTCTGTCTCCTGAATTGGCTTCTTCTTTTTCTTCTTCTCTTTCCACTGTTTTACCACATCTGCTGCAGTCAAGTCTTTTGACTTCTTCTCTTTATGTTTGTCTTCCTTATGTTTGTCTTCCTTGTGTTTTTCATCTTTGGGTTTCTCTTTGATTTTGAAATCCTTTTCCTTTTTTTTGGAGAAGCTGGGTTTCTTGAAGACGTGTATTCCCTTGGAGCGCTTCAACTTGGAAGGACTTTCAGCTTCATCGCCAGAACTGTCCTCTTGAAATGCAGCGTAACCTTCCGCTGTGAGGCAAAGGAGGAGAAGGCAAGAGGACAGCTGTCAGTCTGCTTAGCTTCTGGAGAACGTATTGTAACAGAGGGAGAGCAAGAAGTAATAAATACGTAAGGAGCAGAGAGAAGAAGCAACATGAATTAAAAAAACAGCACCTGCCTGGCTCTTCAGAAGGTTTTCTTTAGTTGTTACACAATTAAGGGAACAGGGATTAAATCAAGGTTGCGTAATCACATCAAAGATAAGCCATGCAGCTCCTGAACCATCTAAACAATGAATACTTCATATACTTACTCATAATGGCAATGTCCATCTTATGGGCTAGTTTCCCATCTAATAGTCAAGGAAATGCAAAATAAAAACAACTGTGTGGCAACTTCTCTATGTTCCTGTAATCAACAGTATAAGAGTCGTTGTTAAGGATCATCTACTACATACACGTAAATCCAACAAACTTTGATTAAGAACAAACGAAACTTCAGCCACTTAACTCCCCAATCCCTTGCCAGAATATTATGAATTTTAAGGTATGAAGTTAATGGCCTCAAATGAAATACCAAAAAAGTAAACAAAGTCCAAGCACACTTACTTTTCCACGAGATGAACAGAACAATTCCAGTAACACTACCACAATACCTGTCCGTGAAGTTGCGGATTTGCTTTAAAAAGTGAGAGAGCTTCAGAGACGTCCATGGGTGGAGTGTGCTGCTTCAGCAGCAAAACACCCAGTGCCTTCTGAAACCTGCACCAGTGCTTTTACCAACGCCGCCTCTGCGGCAAGCCCTGCCTATCCTTCAGGCAACAACAAGGAAACCTTTAAAGGTGGATTACAAAAAAACCCCAACAAAAAACAAGCCACGACCGAACCCAACGACACACAAACCGATTTCCAAGTCAATTAATTGTGATTTTACATATGCAGTACCTCATGTGAGAAAAGTAAGCCTGACACCTGGTCAACCACGATGACATTTCACACGCCCTTTGCACCAGGCAGGTCCCCCAAAGCGGTGGGCAGCAAGCTCTCATTTAGACGTGAAGCCCCCATTACACAGATCCTTCGAGGCTCTTCCACCAGCTACAGGCAGTGCCTCTGCCCCGTGAGGAAGCTCACCAACACCCAAACGCTCTTCCTGCCTGAATAGTTTTGGGTGGTGGAAAATTACCCTCTTAGATTGTAAGAGAGAGCATCATGGATGAGATTAGAGGCCGTCATTTTTATGGGTGAAAGATCTCGTGCAAAAGGACCAGGGGACATTCAGTCTTCTCTCCTTCCAATTATAAACTATATTTGGCTGCAGTTTCTCAGTGTTATTTCAGCACATCCAAGGAGCTGTCTAAATTTTGAAGCCTCCTTGGCTGCTCTCTAGAAGGTAGCTGCTAATAGTCAAAGTAGTATAGGAAATCTATTAAAGCACAGAACTGCCACAAAACAGTGACAACTGTTTGACCAGCTCACCCTTCCCACCCTAGGACTACCAAAAGTGCACTTTCATGTAAGATGGAGAAAGACCACAGCTGGGACTGTTCCTGTCCAAGTGAATTTTGATATAAAAATGCAAATGTTGTTGAAGGACAACATGTAACCAGGCCTCATCCTCCCAGTTTACTGGCTAAAACCAGAAACAGGTGAGATAACCTGCAGTGCCTAAACTAAGGATTCAAATCTCCAATACGGCCAGAAGTGCTGAGGCAGCAGCTACAGGACAAGGGAGGAACACACACCACCACTGTGCTATGTGGGAACAGGATAGGGCTGCCACTGCCTTTCAAGATGGGCTTCACAGAAGTATTTCCAAACAGAAAGCCAGATCTTCCCCAGAGCCCAGAACGATCTGCCCTCAACGTGTCCAATGACAGGACAAGGGGCAATGGGAGCAAGCTGGAGCATAGGAGGTTCAATCTGAACATGAGGAAAAACTTTTTTACTGTGCAGGTGACAGAGTACTGGAACAGGCTGCCCAGAGAAGCTGTGGAGTCTCCTTCTCTGGAGTCATTCAAAACCCGCCTGGACATGTTCCTGTGTGACCTAGTCTAGGTGATCCTGCTCTGGCAGGGGGGTTGGACTGGATGATCTTTCGAGGTCCCTTCCAACTCCTGAGATTCTGTGATTCTGTGAACCTTTCCTGCTGGGTAGCCCTAACAGCTCCCAGTTGAACAGCATCGGGTTCCCACACACGCGCTGGGAACGGTGTCAGTGCAGGAGACCCAAGCATGGAGGTCGGTGTCACCAGCAGAGCCTTACGTGTCTCAACACCGCGCGTTGCAACACAACCCTGGTGCTTTGCTGGAGCTGTGGTAACGAATCACCAGCAACAGCACGTTACTGGAACTGGTATTTCTTGACTTCATAAGAACACAGGAAGGAGCAAGTTAGATACAAACCCAGCCTATTTGAATTTGTCTCAGTAATGCAAGTCAAAAAAGTTTAGAAATAGATACTACGGATTCACAGAGAATCTCCCACCCACACCAAGAAGGAGTTTGTAAGTCTCTCAGAGTAGCCCAATTTTCTTTACCGTTTCTTCTAGTAATAAAATTACTGTATCCCTTTCACCTGTGATACAATATATTGAAATATAAACAACCTAAATTTATAGAGAAGAAAAATTATTGAAAGCACTTGACAAATCAGGTCATTTTAAATGACAAAAGTATTGCCTACTGTTAGTAAACTGGTATTTTTGTTCACTGCTTCCTCAAGACTTCTAGGACTAATAGTCTGCATTTTCCCATCACTCGAATGTACCTCCATGACACTTTCCTGCATAGAAAAGGAAACCAGAACTAATTAAACAAATACTCCAATTCCACCAGCACAACGACTGGACTGTCTGCCAGTTCCTTGCTTGGGCTTTGCTACACCTTCCACAAGCACGCCTTCACTCCAGTTTATTTAAATGTGATGCTGCAAGTATAGCTCTGATCTTACTGAAAATTATGAAAACCTCTTTTAAAAATAATAATAACAAAATTCCAGTGTTACTCTGGAAAAATCTAATTACAGACTTAAAAGCTCTGTCACGCAGCGAGGCCACTGTTTCTATCAGTCTGCATTCTTGGGAATACTTCTCCTGCACTCTTCAAATGAAGCAATAAACTCATGCTTTATTCATGTATTTATTGTTAAAACAGAGGGTTGTAATTACGTAGAACTGCCACTTATCAAACCTACCACAAGATACATTTTGCACATCACATCTCTGATGAGTTTTGAAGTAATTTATACCTCTACATCTGATGTTAGCTCCCTGGGGAAATCTGCATGCACCTGTAATTAATTCACTGAAAGAAACATGGATTGCTTTTACATATGGAAGAACAGTAGGTCAAACACGGCTGTATGGACTGATGTGCAATGCTAGCGTTAGTTATCAAATTTCAGATTGACAGAGGGATTGCCATCAGCTTGAATACCATAACTATAGAAAAGGGTAAGACACACATGGATGCATAAAGAGCTGGGGTAGATGGCTTCTATTTCTCCTCCTCACCCACAAGATGTATTGTTATTATTAAAAGAAGTTTCAAACTTACAGACACTACTAATACTTGCTATCCAACTTGCCATTAGATCAGTTTGCTTTTAATACTCATTCACCTCAGTGATGTGAGCACAGCACTGCACTCCCAAACAAATTCTGCATTCAGATTACTGCACAGCACTATGCAAGGAGAGAAAATGAAGTTGAAATACAAGATTTGCCTTCATTTTAATTTAAAGTAATCACTGGCATTGAAAGGCAGACTTTTAAACTGTTTGCAAATACTACTTTGCTAAATAAATACACAATGGTGTATATACACACACAGTAATATGTCAGCAGAATGGGATGTAGCAACACAGGAAGATAAACCTTGATATGAAGAGCCTCTAATGTTTATCATGGGTAGAAAGTTCTATAAACTTTTTTTTCTGTAGATCTGGAAACCTCTCCACACACTAGACCAGTGAAATAACCTTTTGTCTGCAATAGCAGCTACTTGGTTATTTTGTAGGATGACAACAGCCGCCTCACAGTTTCTAACAGACCTCCCCCTATGGACGTGCAGCATCCACCACTGCTGCAGAATCCACCTTCATCAGCGCTCTGCACAGAAACCAAAGGTCACAAGTAGGGAGACCACTTATGCTGAGCAACCCTGGGATATTTATCCTTCCCTCTCCACATTCTCTCCTGCTCTTCAAGCATTTCTAATGTTTTGAGAATTATTAAAATACCCCCGAATTTTTGTAGGATTAAAGTTCAATACAGTTTCAGGAGTTTGGATGACGTAGTCATTAATTCACTAATACTGTAAGTTCAACAAACATTCGGTCTGTCATAATTTTATATCGACACCTTATCTTTTTCTCATCAAAGTGTTCAATGATATTTGTTAAAACCCTAAATTACATGACCATAGCAGGTTGCGTACTGTCCAAAATCAAAGCAGCTGGCCAGAAAAGTGAACAGAAACAATCTGAAGATGTGCAATAGAATTTAAAAGGTGGAAGAAACTGAAGAACCAAAAGTAGGGCAGGCAGGAATATCAAAAGGCAAAGCTGGAAGGGGAACTCTTAAAAATCAACCATGTTAAGCAACTGCAAGGAGCCCTCGTCATTTACATAAGTACAGTATCTGTTCAGGGTCTATGTACAATAATGACCATTTTTGGACTGTATGAGAGATACTGAAAGCTCTGTATGTAACGCACTCTTACACCCAATGGCAATTATGTGACACACTTACATGATGGCTAAGAAATACTGAATGCTTTTTACATTACAGCTGCAAGAGAATTTAACTCTTCCTACATTTTGCAGTTTTCTGGTTTTGAGGATTTTTCATACCTTTAAAGCTTCTTTTAAGTAACAAAAATTGCTTTACGTCAGCTATAAAATGTGCTGTAATCACTTGTGGAAGAAAGCCATTACAGTGCTAATGTGCACAGACCTTGCATGTATTTGCTGAAGAAGCAATTTCCTCTTCAGCCTGCAGTTAGACTATCACCATGGGACATGCAGAATTACACCGCAAAGAAACACACACTATGTATATTGCTGACCTCTAACAATTCCAAATATAGAGGTGCCTAATCGAGAGTTATAACAGAAAGCTGATTTGCAAGGAAGAAAAAACCAGCTACTAATAGCCTGAATTGAGAACCATCCGATCAATACCAAATTTTCACCACCAATCCAATTGTGTGCATTAGGTTAATGTTGTTAACTCTAGGGAAAAAAACCTAAAGAATCACTTTTCTTCAAACCTGCAAGAATTTAAACAGCTGCTTTTAACTGGATGATACATTTTTGAGTTACAGTGTATCCTTTATGCACACAGCCTTTAGTTACTAATACAGTAAATCCTGTAGTCCAGAAAACTGGTTTGATTAAAAGCAGTGCAGTGGCAGTGGCAGCAATTCTTATTTGAATATGTGCACACGTATTACAAATAGTCATCATATTCATCCTAACATGACAGAATATGGTGTGCTGTCTCATTGGTTTTGATCTTCCCATTTCACATACAAGTAGTAGCAGGACACACTAGCATCAAAGATACAGCCATTGTAGAATATGAAATTTTTATTTCAAAATTTTGCTAAAAAAACATTAGTTAAAAAGGTACGAACACTTGGGCTGTGATATTTAGGTTTCAGAGACTTGGACAGTAAGGATCTTTCTGGTACTGAGAGTTCTTAGTATCAGCGTAGTATTTCCAAGTGCTTTGTCCTTTCAGAATATACAGAAAAACTCTACTGAATGAAACTATTTCACACTTCCAAAATTTTCTGCGCAAACCTAAAGGTGGGAAGTAAGATTTCTTTTTTGTTTTGGAGGAGGGGTACACTTTTTAAATGAACACTTTTGTTCTGGACACTGACATACTGACAAAAACTGGATTCTATAGTCAAAGCTTTACTTCCTTCTAACCTTTACTCTGCCAGCTGTGGTAAATTCAGCTGCTGACACTGGCTTGCACAGTTTTGAACTAAGAAGTTATGAGAAAAAAGGGCCACAGATTTTATTACTCCTCAAATAAAGGTGCACTGTGCACGTGAAAACTGGAGAGGGTACCTGACAGCAAGCTCTGGAGATGGGAGACATAAGGGAAAATGGTCCAAGTTGCTGAAACTGCCTCTTCCAAATGCACAAAATTCGATAAAACTTAAAGAGTTTTATCTTAGCTAGTACCTCAGCTACAATTTCAAAAAGCATCTATTTGGAAATACACTTGGAAACCTCCACTTGGAATGTGAACAGGTAACGAGATCAGAAGAAGCCCATGCCAGGCAGCTACCAATACATCGTTAAAGGTGCTGGATAAACAAGTTTGTCAGTAACTCTGGGCATGTGCTTGGCACCTGAAGCTGCGCAACAAAAAACAAATCCATTTTTGGGTTAAGGTGTAGGTTTTTTGGAAGATAAACAGGTATTGCACAAAGCCTGTTTGCACAAGTTAACTCCCTTTACACGTAAACAAGTTCCACTGGGAATATTAAGCAATTTTGAGAGAGAAAGAAAGAAAGAGAAATTCAAAGCATGAGATAAGAGAAGTTGCCTACTCACTTCTTTTTTCTTTCTTCTTAAACTTTCCTTTCTTCTTCCCATGCTCCTTTTCATCATCAGACACTATATCTGGAGGCTCATGCAGGCTGTCGTGAGGCGGCGAGGGCTCACCGGTGCGGTACAATCCAGGGAATTTTGTAGGACTGATCTCTTCCGAGCTGGGGGTACGAGCGAGACCCCCGCTGTGCTCTACTCGACGGTGTTCACTGGGGCTGCTGGTGGGGGGCAGGAAGCACTCGGTCATTCTGATTCCCTGATAGCAAAGTGAAATCTTCTGCTACCTGTCCATCACCTGCAGGGGGGGGAACAGAAAGAAACCCCACGGATTTTTTAAGTGATGGGTTTCAGACCACGTTGTACTGAGCTCTGTACTGAAAATGCAACAAACTGCAATACCTTCCACAGTGAATAATGCTCCAGGTTAGGTAGAGACACGGTAACATAACACCAGGTTAAGCTCAGTGTTTGCACAATCTGTCCATTAACTCCTAAGCCATATTAACATAATAAGAAAGCTGTTATTTTAACCATCTCTACTTTATCCTATATAAAACACTATTTATTAAGTATCTGAATACTTCAACTTCTGAAATAATTCTTACAAAACTCATAGGCAGCTTGCATACTAATTGGCAGTATTTGTTAATAAAAAGTTACCTAACTTTATATTTTTTTTACATGAAATAGGTCTGTCTGGAAGCTCAGAGTGTTTGGGAGCACTGCACTTAAAGCAAAGATCATTTTCATCTTTCCCAAGCATATTTTACAGATGCAAATAAGAACTTGCCAAGCCTGCTGCAATAAGGAAGGAGAAACAAAAGAAGTCCTAAAGCCAAATCCATCTTCTAATTATGCCAATGCAAATTAAAGCAAGCAGAAAAAGAATGATTAAGTTTTTCCGGTATACAACAACAACTTCACATTAGAAGAGGCTGTATCAGGCCATCTGCACCTAGATGCTGGTATGTTGTTTGCTCGAGAGTTACAGCCAAAAAAAGGCTAAGATGAAAATCACTGAAGGAGGCCAGGACAGAAATTCTCAGCAATGGAACTTTAAGCAAAAAACCTCTGTCCTAGCACAGATAAATTTCAGAAACCACACAGAACAGATCTGCTGTGTGGGACATCGTACCTGCAAGAGTCTGCTTTGCTGAATTTAGCCCTTCGTCTCTAAATGGTCACCCTCACATATGAGCCCTTCTTTCAAGCGATGAAAGGAAAACAGAAACAGGGCAAATCCCAGAGAAAGGAAAACCCACTGGTATACTTGGATGAGAGGTCAACTTATGGTTACACACTAACTTTTAATCCAACTTACACCTGTGCTGCTGTGCTGCTGCTGGAAGGAAACTGATCTACTGGAAGACAAACAGAAGAAATAAGGATTTATTTTTTTTTAAAAGCTTTATCAGCTCCAAAGCCTGGCTCTCCGTGCAGCCATACAAGCATCAGGGCGAGCACAGGGAAGGCTGAGAGAGCTGGGAGAAGGTGCCCTGCACTGCAGACTTAAACCGATCAACGTGACTCTGTAGCCACGGCCTCAAAAAAACCCTGAATTAAAACACATTGTAAGATTAAACAAAAAAAGCTGAATCAAACCTATTTCCATAAATATTTTAGTTATGACAAGAGTATATCCAGATATAATAGCTATGGCTTCTGCACTAGCCTTTGGACTCCGCAGTCACCTCTGGTACTCCTGCTATTTAATGTTGATGTGTAGATTACCATGTAGAAGAAAGTAGTCAACCCCTTGCTAAGTTAGGCAAATAATCACGGATACCCCATATTTTATAAAACACTAATCCAGAGAAATAAACTATACATACTGGCTAAGCGGGAACTCCTCAGGCAAACTGGACTGCAACTGCAAGAGCAGAAAGGTTCTTTAACATAGCAGCATTAACATGAGGCACAGTCACTTTCTGTTTTCGGTCATGCTTGTTGGGATTTGTTATATTTTTAATGTGTATCAAATACTCCACTGCTATGCTAATCTGATATTGTGTTTAAACAAGTAAATGGGATGCTCCAATATGACATTTCAGGAGAAATGTCCAGGTGTCTAAAGTTTCAAAATTATAGGTATCAAAAAAGGTCAAAACTTTCAATTATACAAGCATTTTCAATATTACCAATAACACAGGTGATACTATTGCATCTCATCTGAGTAACAGAATGATCTGTAAAATTCCTGCACAGGACCTGTCTGCATTTCATCCACCAAAATACTCCATCCATACCCCAAAAAACAGAACGTAAAACCCCACCAAAAGCTACTAAAAGCTGTTAAACAACAGCAACCCATGGAATTAAATCAGAAATACTACAAATAATTTTTTTAAGCGAACAGGATGGACCACACCTACAATTCAGTCCCTGTCTTTTGTGGGCAAGATGGGCGAGTGCGCAGAGGGAAGGACAAGGCCGTTGCAAAGGCACGGAAAGGTCACCCTGGAAAGTGAGGGGGCACACGCTCTGCCTCTGGACCCCCCTGGAGCTCCTGGGATGGAGCCAGTCTTAGCCCATATGTCCCACAACGCTTTTCAGCAGTGTATTACTCAGGTGCTCAACTCTTATCTACAGATTGGTACAGAAAAACATAATATGGAATGTGTTTTGCTAGATTAATAACCATAAATGTATCATAAGTGAGTTTTCAGGGTGGGATGGTAGTGGTGGTTTTTTTTTCTTTTCCCTTTTTTAAGCTCTCATCCTTCAGTTCTCCTATGCAGAATATAGTGAAAATTTAATGCATGTATGAAACAAAGTATCTCACTACAGAACACAGACTACTTATGGAAATTAACAGTTACTCCGAATTTGAATAGGGCACAGTAAGACATGGAATTATGATGAGAAACAAAATATTCATGAGACCTTTTAAGACTGCTCACTCTTTATTCTGGCTAAACCAAAGACACTGACTAAAAATAAAGATAATGGTGCATATTTGTAAATGCAGCAAATTAAGACTGCAATTACATTTCGTACTTTTTATTTTACAGCTTTAAGAAAGCATTACTTTACTATATGTGTAATTTCCTAGGCTTCTAATAAGGGAGAAATTCCACTATGCCCAAATTAGATCAAGACTTATCAGCAGAATCAGATCCTTTAGGCCTACCACAAAAATCTCTTCCATCCTTTTACTAATGGATGTCAATGTACCATTGCCATGCAAATCTGAGCCTTTCCTTCAGCTTTTACAAATTTTTGGTAACAGCACTAAATGGCAAGACTGAAAAAAAATAAATCACGGATCCTTTCAACATTTGGAGGAGGAACATTTCTATCAGGCTGAGTCTTCTGCCAGCTTCTCCCTCTCAGACTTGACCCTTTCTTCCCAATCTGTTACAGCTTCAGTCCTGCCTCTCTGCAGCAAGCTCCTCATTTCAAATTGCTGCTCTTCACCTATGCGGTTCTCACCCGTCAGGAGATTTAACAACTCCCCACTGCCACATGTGGAGGTCACACTACTCCCCCCATTAACCCACACCCTCAATTCCAGGAGTTGGCTCTCCCAAGAGCCCTTTTGACTCAATTTTGCTAGCTGCTCCAACAGGCTCCTGCTGCTGCACTGGCTCACTGAAGAGCTCAACAAGCACTCAAGATGGAAAGCAGAGGAGTAGCAGAATCACGATGCCAGGAGTGCAGCCTCCCTCTTTACACAGCTTGGTTTTGTGATAGCACACACACAGCTTCATGTCCCCAGATTTCACTTCATTCTTCATATTTTCCCCGTAACTAAGCTTCAATTTTCTCTACCACCCAGTTCCAGTGCCACAACTCTCATGGGTCCTGTCTTTGATTTCTCTTTTTCACCTTCAGTACATCACACACAACAGCTTCTTCATCTGCTTTGGCCTCTGTGACTCCAGCTCCTTGCTCAGTCTCCCACTTTCCCCTCTCTCTGATAATTTTCCAGCTGGTTCTGACCCTCCTGCTGCACACCGCTTCCTTGCAGATACAGCCACAGAATCACAGAATGGTCTGGGTTGGAAGGGACCTTAAAGCTCATCCAGTCCAACCTCCTGCCATGGGCAGGGACACCTCCCACCAAACCAGGTTGCCCAAAGCCCCGTCCAACCTGGCCTTGAACACTTCCAGGGAGGGGGCATCCACAGCTTCCCTGGACAACCTGTGCCAGTGTCTCACCATCCACACAGTGAAGAATTTCTTCCTAATATCTAGTCTAAATCTACCGTTTTCCAGTTTAAAGCCACTACCCCTTGTCCTATCACTACCCTCCCCAGCTTTCTCATAGGCCCCCTTTAAGCACTGGAAGGCTGCTATAAAGTCTTCCTGGAGCCTTCTCTTCTCCAGGCTGAACAGCCCCAACTCTCTCAGCCTGGCCTCATAGAAGAGGTGCTCCATCCAGTCCTCTTTCTTCTTCCTCTGTTTCTTCTGTCTGATTAGTTACCAGTTCCCATTGCCTCCTGAATGTCCCTCTTTGTTGCAGTCTTTCGTTTCCTCAGGATTGTCTACCTCATCTTCTCACCTTGTCCCTGTTTATCCCCTGGCTCTCAGTCCCTCCATAATATCACAAGAAGTCATCTTCTTCCTTATGCCCCTGCCAAGAGCAGACTCCTTGACTCCCACCACTTCTTGTTCACTTGATATTTGATTCTTCTTCCACAGGAGCCAGGAATGTTTTTACATGGCAGCGTCAGAGCCTTCCCTGCAGTTCAAGTACCTCCTCAGACCTAGCTACTCTTTTCAGCACTCCCAAAATGCAGTTTCACAAAACATCTTCCTGCTCAACATGGAGTCAAACCTTCAGAATAACAGAGTATGAAAAATAAACAGCCTTCACTGAACATATGCAGATTTGTGACCTTTCCTCTATCCCCCAAGGAAAGACTAAATTAAGAGAGATTTTAAATATGGAAAGCAGAAGGTATGTCCTTAACACAAAATCTCCTAGGCATCACCTCACCACCATCTTTCAAGACCATGCACCAAGCAAAGGAATGCAGGTTGGGGAGAGGAAGGAAGATGCCTTTATGGGCAAAAGAAGGTATTTTTCCTTATTTTTGAAAATAACTCAACTCTTTCCTAAAAAATTCAGCCTGAGCTACATAACTAGTAAGAAAAAATTAATGTTAAACAGCTGAGGTTTGGAAAAAAAAACAACCCAGAAAAGTGAAGACAGAGAGACATGACAGCCAACTTTAATAGATCTCACTTATTACAGTGTGTCACCTAAATCAACATAAACACATTAAAGAGAGGCATGGTTTGAAAGACCAAACTCCCAGCTCTCTCATTCAGTACAGAAAGCTCTATTATTTCTGTTTT